GCTCAACCACTTCTGGTGTCCTCTCAGCTAGCGGCTTAACATACCCAACAATAACACAGTTGTCTAACTGTCCGAGGAAGAGTCACTGTCATTTGAGTCAGCAGTAGCCTGTAACTGTGCTGGAGGTTTGGTTCTTCGCCTCTTTGTAGGAGAGTCCTCATCAGAACTTTCTGATGTCTCCAGAGGAGAAGCTACGGTTGTTTGAACCTCTTCGGAAGTGGAATAGGAAGACCCTGGAGTTTCATCATCCCAGGGGGCCTGACCAAGACCAGTCACAGACGAACGGTTATCTGTCCCTTGAGAACACGCCATATCTGGAGATATTGTAATAATTGATGAGTCCAAGTGGCTTCCTTCATCATATGATGGTGCAGGACAGTCATAATTGGCATGTTGATCATATGCTTCCAAGTTAAAAGGACAACGGGCAAAACTGATGAATTCATGTAAGAAGTGTTCAGTCCGATTCAGCAAAAACGGCTTTAAATCCTCAGCAAAGGCCTGACTTTCCAGATCATACCTGGTCACGTTACTCATGATAATGTGCTGTACAATATTAACCAAAGATCCATGGGCACCAAACAGGACTGTAAGTTCTCGCTTCAACCAGGGAACCAACCTGTGGAGGCAAGCAGGGTTGCGGCGGAAAAACTCTGCCGAAATGTCTCGATAGCGGCCACCATCCTGAATACTACGAATACGCACACCAGTACGGTACAGAGCTCTGCGGAAGTTGATCATCTCCTCCTCCTGAATCTGCCGCACAGATCTGCCCTCTGTGCTAGCCTGCCTCCTTGACGCCAGCCTCCTTATCATCTGCTGAATCTCCCCGTCTCTCTGCCTCACTGGTTCGTTCGACAGCCCTTCAAACAATACCCCGTTATCTGGAGGGGAGAGTGTCCTTCGGGAAGCGGAACTGCCACTGCGACGTTCCCCTGTTAAGGTGGTGCGGTAACGAAATCTCCGCCCATCAGGGCTGGCAAAAGACCTATTTTCTGAAGGGCTCAGTATGTACTCCTTAAAGTCATCTTCAGCACGAATGGTATGGAAAATGGAGAAAAAAGGTTGCTTGCAGAGAGGGCATTCTGCTTTGTTTTTTGACCATTCCTGGACACAGCGGAAACAGAACCTATGCAGGCAGCGATCCAGATATGAAACATTGTCAAATCTA